CATAGTTCACATACTGTTGAAGCCTGGTTTGGAGAATTCTGAGCATCACTTTGCTAGCATGTGAGATGAGTGCAATTGTACGGGTAGTTTAAACATTCTTTGGCATTGCCTTTCTTTGGGATTGGGATAAAATTCATCATTTCATTGGAATGAATCATTTCATTGGAATGAAAACTGATGCATTAATTGTATCAACCACCTCAAAATAGGCCAAAATATAAGTTCACATTAAAAATTTTAAACCAAGGAGGAATTCGGGACAATATTTGTGATTCTAATAATGGTATTTGTGAAAACAATCATGCGATTCCAAATATTTGTGACTTCAATCATGTATTTTAAACTTAAAAATTAGTGTTGCGGCTTCCCTGGTGACTCAGTGGTAAAGAATTCACCTGGCAATGCAGGAGACACAAGCTCAATCCCTGGCGCAGGAAGATCTCACATACTGAGGAGCGACTAAGCCTGGGTGCTGCAACTACTGAGCCTGTGCTCTGCACTAAGAGGAGCCATTGCAATGAGAAGCCCGTGCATCACAGCAAAGAGCAGCCCCCACTCTCCACAGCTAGAGAAAAGCCCTCACAGCGACAAAGACCCAGAACAGCCAAAAATAAATAAATAAAATTATGTTTTATAAAGGCAATTAAAAAAACAATTAGTGCTGATGAGGGAAGTATAAATAAGATTGAGATTGAGAAGGATGTTAATTTTTCTACCACAGTGAGAATATTGGCCCAAATTCAGTGTGTAACTATAATTTTCAATTTATAGTTAGGAACACTGATGTACTCAGTCATGTCTGACTCTTTTGTGACCCTATGGAGCCCACAGGCTCCTCTGTCCATGGGATTTCCAGGCAAGAAGACTGGAGTCGGTTGCCATGTCCTCCTCCAGGGGATCTTCCCCACCCAGGGATCCAGCCTACATCTCTTGAGTCTCCTGCATTGGCAGGTGGGTTCTTTACCACTAGTGCTACCTGGGTCAAATTAATTGGGAGCTGTGGAGAAAGGCTCATGCAGTGAACAAGAAGTTTAAACTATAGAATATATAAATAATGTAGTCACATTACTTTAAAAATCATGAAAGCAGAAGCAAGTCCAGGCTGGAGGAAGTTCAGGCAGTGGGAGGGCTGAGTGCAAGGAGTGTTTCAGCAAACAGAGCAAGGTACCTGGGTGCGGGAGGCTGAATGTCCTTGCTCTGAACTCAGTGAGGCAACAGCAGAAAGATGCACTAGTACAGGCTGGGTGGAACTGCGATGGAGTCATTCCAGATTTCAGGGGCTGGGGGGTGGGGAGTCTCTATCCAAGCTGGAAATGCAACCTTTTTAGGACATTATATAAATCTTTATAATTTGCTCCCATTTCAGTCACTGTAAATAGTCCTGAAATCATGGGCTATTGAATCAGGAAGAAACCCCATGGACCATACAGCCAGAAATTTCATTTTGCAGCTGAGGAGACTGCAGTTTGGAAAGGTTACCCAAGGCCACACAGCTGGTCAGCTAAACAGGCAACACTTAATAGCAGGATTCCTAATTCTCAGTTCAGTGTTTTACACCCTGCTGTCCTCTTTGACAGGATACCAAACATCCTTATTTGTCTTAAGACTCTCCTGTTTTAAAATTGAAAGCCTCACACCCCAGGAAACCTGTCAGTCCCAGGCAAACCAGCATGGTTGGTCACCTTAGTGACGATAAGAATTATTATTCATATTCCAATAACCTTCAAGACAGTAGTTTTCAGTGCCAGCCATAGCAAAAATTCTCCATGCAAAAGTTTGTCCAAACAGCTCCAGAATAAAGACAGGTGACTTTATGCCATCATGATATAAATGAGAAGGAAGAACCTCTTCATTTTTTATCTAATTTATAACAGGAATGGGTTTCCCAGGTGGCACTAGTAGTAATAACTACTAGTAGTAACCTGCCTGCCAATCCAGGTTTGATCCCTGGGTTGGGAAGATCCTTGGAGGAGGGCATGACAATCCACTCCAGTATTCTTGCCTGGAGAATTCCATGGACAGAGGAGCCTGGCAGGCCATAGTCCATAGGGTCTCAAAGAGTCAGACATGCCTGAAGGGACTTAATACACAAGCATGTGTGACTGGAATACCTGTTGTTAGTCTCAGGTCATACTATTGACAACACCCCCAGCCTCAATCATATTGGGGCTATCAGATCACTGGTAAAATTTACAGAGGGTCTGCTTTTCCCAACGCCAACTATTATACACCTAGAAAAATATCTCAAATGGTAAAGACAGAAGGGGACATGATATAAGCCAATTTTGCTCTCCCCCATTATTACAGTGGAGTGGCCTAAGGAGGATCAGGCAAACAGATACACAGACTTCAAAGAAATGAAACTTTCTGCTTCCTGCCAAAGTCACCGGAAGCAGGAAGTAGCCTTCTTGAACACTCCAGCTAGAGCACACTGGAAAGTAAATGACAAGGTCATCTGTTCCCCAGGGAAAAGGCACAGACAGTATCCATCAGTCAGCAGCAAGAGACTCAAGCAGAGGACGGTAACTTCCACCCAGAAGCCCATTCAGGCTGCTCGGTGCTGGGCTGGCCCTGCCCTTCCCTGGGGTCCTGCCAGCCAGCACTGTCGCCGGTAGTAAGCCTCTTCCTCAGAATGACTGCTTCCATCAGAGACGCAGCCTGATGGCCTGATCCCAAACAACTCCAAGTGTCTGAGCATCCACTTTCAACCCCCGTGTGGAGGGCACCAGGAATTTCATTTCAGACTAAGCTGCCCTGAGTCTGTGAAAAAGGAAGGCCTCCCGAGAACACAGACAGTGAGGAGAATACCACATCACGCCTGACCCTGGATTCACCATCTGACACAAAAACCTTCCTTTTAGGAAACTAAGAGGTCATGTTTTCTTTGCCCTTTCTTCCCCTTTGTTTTGAAAATAATAATAATAATTTCTTGAATCAACTCCGTTCACACTCAAGGAACCACGATATCTTACTTTTTACTTTACTTTTTCATTTTTTAGAAAACCTCTTTTACTTAGTCTACATACATGTTAAGTAGCTTCAGTCATGTCTAACTCTTTGTGACCCTATGGTCTGAAGCCTACCAGGTTCCCCTCTCCAAGGGATTCTCTAACTGGAGTGGGTTGCCATTTCCTTCTGAAGGGGACCTTCCTGACTCAGGGATCAAACTCAAGTCTCTTATGTCTCCTGCACTGGCATGTGGGTTCTTTACCACTAGCGCCACCTGGGAACATGAAGCTAAAGGGTATGGAATCAAGCCTTCTACGTAAAGGTTGCTTCCCATAGAAAAGCCTGTGATTCCTGACAATGATTCAGTAAAGATACAGCACATTATATAGCTTCCTCTAAATTTCCTTTTTCGAAAGTCAGTGGGAACCTGAAAAATTGCAAAGCTGTGGATGAGCCTTGCTCGAAATAATGTGAATTATAGCTAATGCACTTTCTGTGAATAGGAAAGATATTATAATCACAATTGGAAACCTCTGGCTCCATTCCCCCCAGATCACTGTCAGTCTCCCCTTAGAGTACTCTCGTCTCTGAAGCTTTCTGGTTGACTCAGAGCCACAGACGGAGCCTGCCTTACCCTGCCTTTGCAGACTGACTTTCCCACAGAGCACCCGATGAGATTCATCAATGTACCTCACCCCAAGGGTTAAATTTCCTGTTGTTGTTGGGTTATTTTTTTTATTTTGCTTTTGATTTTCTAGATTAATTAATTTATTTTTAATTGGACACCTACCAATTAAGCTGGAAAAGACACTGATGCTGGGAAAGATTAAGGGCAGGAGAAGCAGGTGACAGAAGATGATATGGTTTGATGGCTTCATAGACTCAACAGACATGAGTTTGGGCAGACTCCAGGAGACAGTGAAAGATGGGGAAGCCTGGTGTGTTGTAGTCCATAGGGTCACAAAGAGCAGGACATGACTGAGCAACTGAACAACAAATTTTTAATTGGAAGACCACTGATTTACAATATTGTGCTGGTTCTGCCGTATATCCACATGAGTTAGCCATAGGTACACGTATGTCCCCTCCCTCTTGAACCTCCCTCCCACCTCCCACTCCATCCCACACCTCTAGGTTATCACAGAGCATCAGATACAAGTTTATTTTAGGAAGTCTCTCTGGAAGAGTGCTGAACTCAAAACGTGAACACTGGCATCCAGTCCTATCATTCATTGCCTTGAACTCGAGCAATTTCCTGAGCCTCTCTGCATGCCAGCTTCCTGTCCAGAAAACGGCAATAATGACACAATTACATAGGTTTATGGGAGAATCACCACAGGACAGAGAAGGTGCTGACACACAGTAGGTGCTTCAATATCTATTCAGTGCCTCAGAGGAACAATCACCTGAACATCAAATACTTTCTGTGCCTTATCACCATAACAGGTTGGTAGAGCAGGGCTCAAAAACGAGACGACAACCTCAAATAGAAATAACTGCCATCTGTTGAGCGCCTATTAAGTGCCACATGCTAAGTATTATTTTTAAGATTTGTGTGTGTGTGTGTGTGTGGACCATTTTAAAGTCTTTATTAAATTTGTTACAGTTTGTTTCTGTTTTATGTTTTGGGTTTTTGGCCGAGAGGCATGTGGGATCTCAGCTCCTTGACCAGGGATCAAACCCCCACCCCCTGCACTGGAAGGCAAAGTCTTAACCACCAGACCACCAGGGAAGTTCCCACATGCCAAGTATTTTAACACACATTGTCTTACTTAATTCTCATGACAACTCTATGAGGCAGACATGATTATAATGCTCCACGGAAGAAGAAAAGAAAATTTAGAGAAGTTAAGTAGATTTCCCAAAGTCATATAAGTGGCAGTGCTGGACCAGAAGACAGGTCTGTCTGTCTGCACACTGCCCTCCAGTGCAAGCTGAGAAAGCCCTAAGCGCACGCACAGAGAGACCTGACCACATTCCAGAATGTTCCGCGTTCTCACCCAGAACTCACGGGGTTAAAGAGAAGATGACAAAATAGCACAAACAGCTGGTTCCAAGGTGCTAGCTGCTCTTCTGTGATGCCATTTTATTTGTCCTCTGCAGCTGTACCAGAAAGTTTTTGTTCTCTGAAGGAAACACTGAACTGAAAAGATAATTGGTATTCAAGACACACATGTTTCCTACCAGCAAATGAGAAGAAAGCACAACAGTATTCTTGAAGGATGCTGATTTTTTTGTGTATTTTGCAATTCGGCATTTTCAAAAATGACATCTGTTTTGTGAGTGACTAAAAACTCTGGAAGAAGAATCTGTAAAAAGAAATAAAATTGTGTTTCTGAGCAGTTTACTCCTTACTGCCTTCAAATGATATTTGTTTAGTTAGCCCATTTTCCCCCAAAACATTGTCAAGGCAGAAGTTTTCCCATTTCCTACCCACATTTCTGACAGGTTTGAAATGATGCTCCAGTGGCAAATGTTTTCAAAGTTTCTTTCAGCACTTTTTTGCCATGTATCAAATCATCCTTTCTTTTGAGCACTCAAGAAAACAAATTTGTGCCTTCTAGGAGCATAAATGAATATAATGCATCGTGTTTATATTGCACATTCTAGGAGGAACTCAAAAGTATTTTACTATCTTTGCTTTTCTAGGCTGTTTATTTTTGCTGGTGCATCAACAAATACACAAGTTTGAGGGATCCATTTCTTATTCATTCCCGTCTCTTTGATTTATCACTTCCTATTTCATAAATTTCTAGTCTCTGCTGCACACAAATAAAAAGATGCAGTAACTCATGTAGTTTGTCAGACAAATCCCAGTTTTGGAGAAGAATGAATATTAACTAAGGTCATCTAAGGAAGTTCCCGCTGCAAATGGTACTGTGTCAGTCTGAACCCCTACCCTCCCAAATCAATATGTGGCCACTTTGCAAGAATCACCTCCCTAATCCAAAAATACTTGACAGCTTCCATGTTATAACCGGCAGAATCAGCACCCTTCAAGGTGGGAGGGAACTCTCAGGTTGTACGTGTAAGTCTTTCTCCTCCTGCCTTTGCCCCAAATTTATGGAGCCATCCGTCACAGAGAAATGAAATATAAATGAATCTTTGGGAACTTTCATGAGGCAGAAATCTCCCAAGTTGTCCTGACGATTTAGTTCTCATTTATCTAGGCCCATAATTCACAAACCACAAGCCTTGTTTGTTTAACGTTTCTTTCCCAAAGTTTGTATGTGTCATTTTTGTGGTGATATCTTAGTCACACACATACACGTCAACTCACCTTTAGATTTTAGGCCTTGACTTGCCAAGCGCACTGGCCTCAGTGTTTTCTCTCCCGCACAGTCCTTCTGACCCTTTGCTCTCTATTGACATCATGCTCTCTCTGTGCAAGAAATAAAGCAGATGTTCCTAGACTGCTTCACATAGAGGATGGCTCTATCATTACAAAGCATGGAGAGATCAAAGCTACAGACAGGGAAGAAATAATACACCTCATTCTTGGAGTCAACGTTCTCACTGGCAAAGGACAGACAGAAGGCCATCACCAAACGCTCCTCACAGGTACAGAAATGTATATACAAATAATAAAAATAGCATATGTGTCAGGAAACTCATAGATATGAGAGTTCTGCCATACCTAATGATCTTGGGGCATGACCTAGGTTGGGCATCATTCTCCACCTTTTTAATCAGCTCCTGATATCACCATGAGCCCCTTCATGTGACAAAATAGACTCCATCAGCTCCCTGTCACCAAGACGTGCCTCCCCACAGAGTTGTACTGCTGGAGAAACCCCTAAGATTGGAAGCTCTGGTACAGTCTGAAGAACAGGTCCCACATGTTCTAAGAAGTCACTGTGAACTATGACAATAGCTAAAATGGGTACCATGAACTTGCCCATTTGTTACCCAATGAAACTTGGTCTGCCAACCTATATGCAGGAAAGCCAATCTATTGACACCAGTTGGTGATACAGGAAATTGTAGTGTGTATTATTGCAAGGCCAAGCAAGGAGTATGGGTAGCTAATGCTCAAAACGAAATCATTCCTAAAGGAAATCAGTCCTGAATATTCATTGGAAGAACCGATGCTGAAACTGAAGCTCCAATACTTTGGCTACCTGATGCAAAGAACTGACTCACTGGAAAATACCCTGATGCTGGGAAAGATTGAAGGCAGGAGGAGAAGGGGACAACAGAGGATGAGATAGTTGGATGGCATCACTGACTTGATCGACATGAGTTTGAGCAAGCTCCAGGAGTTGGTGATGGACAGGGAAGCTTGGCGTACTGCAGTCCATGGGGTCGCAAAGAGTTGGACACAAATGAGCAACTGAACTAAACTGAACTGCATGCTCAAAAGACCTGACTTTCCCATGGATTTCAGGGAGGGGTATTTAAAGGCAAAGTGAGAGAGGGGAGTTGTGTATGTGTGATCAACTTGTGCATAATTCTCTGATTGGTTCATGGCTCCTGGTTCAAGATTGACTTCCTCAAGAAAGTGATGACTTAGCTGGATTTTGGGGGGAAAATGAGTAAGAAGGAGGAAGAAAAGGGGAACATGTTCTGAACAAAGGGAGCAGCTTGAGCAAAGTCAGGATGAAATGTTAATAATCCTCAAAGATACTAAATTAGTAAGTATGAGATAGTCCTGGGAATTAGCTTACTTAACAAGCATCACCTGAGTAATTCTGATGCAGGTTGATATGGAACCATACTTTGAGAAACATAATTTCACATTCCAGTTCTTGAAGAACTTACTCAGAAATATTTGATAGTGGGTAAAATGCCTCATTTGGCTTGGTGAGAGGGGACAAGAAACTTGTGTGGACAGGTCTTTCCTCCACACCCTTACCCAAGTGATCAGTCCAAAATAAGAATCTGATCATGTTACCTCTCAATTTATAATCCTGCAGTGACAGCCAGAGAGGATACCCAATGACTTCTGTGGAGCATCCTTGGCCTCATATAACTGACCTTCCTTCCTGGCCTTGCCTCTGGTCTCACTGCTCGAACTCTACCAATTATATTAAACTCCACACCTTCCGCTGCTTCTTATAATTGTTACAAAGTTGCTAAAATTTAAAACATATAGAAAACACTATTTACTGAAGATATTCACTTAAGTAAGATTATTGTGCTTATGGGAAGCCCTGGTGGCCCAGTGGTAAAGAATCTGCTTGCCAATGCAGGAAATACAAGTTCAATCACTGGGTCCAGAAGATTCCCTGGAGAAAGAAGTGGCAACACACTCCAGCATTCCAGTCTGGGAAATCCCATGAACAGAGGAGCCTGGTGGGCTACTGTCCATGGAGCTGCAATGCTAAATGGTCTCATAAATATAGGTAAACCAAGAGTTCAAAATTCTGAGAAACTCTTACAAAAGATCACATGAGATGATGAGACATCCCACACAATGAGATAATAATGATGAACACAGAAACAAAGAAAGCGTGCTAATCTCTACTTCTAATATGTACACATACACACACACACACACACACACACACACACACACATGCCTCATACCACTGGAGGACATCCTGGAATCTGTGCATCAACAAAATATTCAGTGATAAAGACATTTTCTTCCTGGCACATTAGAGAGAGAAACTGAGACCAGACAGCTAGTAAGATAAGACACACTCTCCCTTCAGGAGCACATGCCACTTTGGCAAACACAAATATCACTCACTCACATACACATGTACTCAAGCCTGTGCATAATTCTCTTGACAACTCCAACTTATAACATTAGCATATGAATGCCGAGGCTTACAGTGATATTCACCCACCAAATGGAGTTTATAATATAAATGCAATGAAAAGTATCTGAAAGATTACTCTTCGCTCTGAATTGAGTCTGTCAGAGCCTGTATGTAAAATATATATAATATCTGCAGCGAACCCAATGTAAATATATTCTTCCTGCATGCTCCCATGGAGAAAAGCTGAGATGGCGAGGACAGTACTAAATTCATACTTCCTTTCCAACTAATGCATAAAATAAATGGCTCCAATTTCCTAGCTTTATGCATGTGTATCTCCCCCTGTTTTCAATATTTCATGTTTATTAGGCTAAATGTGATTTTTTTTTCAAGGTCTCTGTCTTCATTTTATTTTTGTTAGATGTCCTTTTCCTAGCTGCCAAGAATTATTCACAACTGCAGGAGAAAGATTGTACAATTGGACCCATAATCTACTCACACGAGAACCAGAAATTATTTAGGGTATGTGACATGCCTTTCCTGGTAGATTATAAGCTCCTTAAAGGGAATGACATTGACTTGTTCCTCTTTAAAGTCATGCCATTTTTAAGGTGTCTGCCTAGAAAAGCAGCGATGTGTCATCTCATGTGACTCTGCAGGTTGTCTGGGTAATTCCTCCTGTGTCTTCACTTGGGTTTGTTCATGTGGCTCCATTTATCTTCCACAGCTGACCGCACTGAATGCTTCTGGCTTCACTCACAGGTCTGGCAGGAGGTGCTAGCTGTCAGGTGGGCTTGGTCAGTCCTCTTGCACATGACCTCTCATCCTTCAGTTGGCCAGACAGACTTCCTTATACACTACCCCAGAGCAAGGCTGTAAAGTATCTTGCGGGTCATGCAGCATCACTTCCACCAGTTTTTATCAGAGAAAGCCAGAGGGCCAGTCCAGGTACAAAGGGGAGAAACTGATGCCACCTAGTGGTGGGAGGGCTGCCAGTTAGCCAGTGGAGGGCAACATGGAGGATGAGAGGAGGCTTTGCAGCCATCTTTATAAATAAGTTACCACACCAACACCCTGAAGAAGGAAATAGCAACTCACTCCAGCATTCTTGCCTGGGAAATTCCCCCATGGACAGAGGAGCCTGACAGGGCTATAGTCCATGGGGTTGCAAAGAGTCTGACACAACTGAGCAACTAAACAGCCATGAATCAGAGTGTAATTATGACTCCCCTGGAGGTTCAGCGGTTAAGAATCTGCCTGCCAATGCAGGAGACGCAGGTTCAATCCCTGGGTCGGGAAGATCCCCTGGAGGAGGAAATGGCAACCCACTCCAGTATTTTTGCCTGGGAAATCCCATGGACAGAGGAGCCTGGTGGACTGCAGTCCATGGGGTCACAAAAGAATCAGACACAAACAACAATAAATACTACACCAACATAGGTCTAGGAAATATACAGCAATGAAAAACTACTTGGGGAAGTTTCATTCATTCATCCACTTCTTCACTCACCTATTTAACAAACAGTTCTCAGGTGCCTACAGTGTTAAAGCCATAGCTTTGTTAGGCTCTGAAAATAGAGGCAGCAATAAGGCAGAACTAGTTCCTGATCCTGTGAGATTTAGAAAGAATAAATAAATGAGTGAGTGAGTGAAAAGAAAGAAAGGTGATAGGCAGCTGAGTAGAGTTTGGAGAGATTCAGCTTCAAATTCTAGGATCTCTTCTTAGTTAAAGGTTCATGACTCTCTTAAAGGGAGTGGGGAGCCTCAGCTAGGATACAAGTTGGGGCAGGAGCTGTGAATTTCCATTGAAGGCAACACAGGCTATAGGAGCCAGAGGACCCGGCTTAATTTTAAACATGAGAGACTCCTATTCCACTGTATCAGCTGAGGAGCAGGAAAAAAAAAAAACAGAGCAGACTGTAATAACAAAAAGGCAAGGAGAAACAGAACCTTAAAACTCTCTGGTTTTAAGAGAACCAGAAAAGAGTGAAATCTGGAAATTCAAGGAAAAAGTGTTTTAAGAAGTTAATCACCAATGCCAAATGTGATAGATGGATTGAAAAAGAACTTACTGAATTTGATAATGTAGAAGGTGATGTACAAAGGTACAAAATGATGTCCTCAAGGCTTCTGCAGCTAGTGTTATTTGAGTAAATAAGTTTAGAATGTGTTCATTGTATTTATAGATGACCCTATGTTGAAAAGGACTAGTAATAATTTAAAAGACTTCATAATATCAGAGTAAACAGTTTTAAAATGGTCAGCTTAAAAATACACACATATACACATATGCCTAAGATAGGTACAAGGCATACACATAGGTACCAAACATAAATCTATAACTGTGGGAAATAACTAGATAAGCATATGTAAAAGAAGAAAAATACTTGGGAAAATATATCATTTTCAAGTCAATAAAGCTGCTATTTCCTTAGCTACTTGTCTCATGTTACTAGGATGATTTAGTAAGATGTCAACATATGACCTCTAAAAAAATGATTTTTGTACTATATGTTGATCAATGCACAATACATATAAGGGAAAATGAAGTGGCTTAGGATCAGTTAACTGCTTTTACTGACTATGTAGATTATCGCATCCGGTCCAATGTTACACATGTAGGACATTGCAGCCATTTCTCTTGCTCCAAATGTTTATATTCTATTCATTTCCT